CTTGTCAAAATACTTATTACTGCTGACAGGTGTAACATGCTCACATTAATCCTTAATTCCTTGATTCAATTTTCTAATTGCTTTTTTGGCATGAGTTTGGAGCCATTTAGTCTTACGTGATCTATTTGTCTTATGGTATAATAATGCACTTTTAAAAATTGGATGCACGTAACTTAGAATGCTGAACAGAAAATATATATAGATATTACTTAGTACTGAAAATCCAAAGTTTTATAGCACTTCTGTGAGACACCACTTCTTGGAATACAGATAGAGCCAAAACACTTTACACTTTTCATCTTCCCGTATTCACAGTATTAAATATTTTCATTGATAGAGAAGAATCGATGCTAAAGTTTCAGTGCATTTCCCCCAGAGAGGTTCTAAACCCTTACAGCAGATCCATGAACATCCCTTTAGTCATCATTGTGTTCTCCTGCTCTTCTCCCATCTTCATGCCACTGCCTTCTGTTGCCCGTCCTGCCCACTGAGAGTGACGGAATATACTTCCCAGCTGCTTCTTGGTCTGGACTCTTAAAGCTGCTCATCTGTGTTATTCCTAAACAGCCAAATAACACAATGCAAGATTTGCTGGGTTTTTCAATACTTAAATAAAAAATAAACTTGTTTTGTTACTTTCTTGTCATTATAAAGCAGATGTGCTAGGTTACTTAGAAACAAATATTTTTAATTCAGGTATGAATACGGTGTATACTGACATATGTTTTTATGCCAGTAATGGTAGTATTGTCATCTGTCCTTTGTATAGGAAAAAAAAAAATCCAGCCAAAATTTATTTCTTATAGAAACAGATAAAGGGTGAGCAAAGAATCTGCCCAAAGCTCGATAATTCCTCACAAAGTCACCCAGGCAGCTGGACGTTAGTTTTTGCTTAGGTCTTTGTAGGATTTTCAGAAAAAAATTTTTTTATGCCAGTAATGGTAGTATTGTCATCTGTCCTTTGTATAGGAAAAAAAAAAATCCAGCCAAAATTTATTTCTTATAGAAACAGATAAAGGGTGAGCAAAGAATCTGCCCAAAGCTCGATAATTCCTCACAAAGTCACCCAGGCAGCTGGACGTTAGTTTTTGCTTAGGTCTTTGTAGGATTTTCAGAAAAAAATTCTAGAGAATGGAGAACCTTTTCTCTGATAAAAACGTGGGACCCCAGAAAGATGACTTCTAATGCTTGTTTCCTGTGAATACATACATGACTGCACATTTAAATTGTGGATAAAACCTTCTCTCTCTCTTTTTTTTTTTTTTTTTAAGTCTCTGTTTTATTCCCTACCCTCTCCACTTTTTTCTTCTTTCTACATCCACTGACTTATTCTTCCTTTCTCACTATCAATAATAATATATGCTCTTCCACCCTTTTATTCCCTCCTGGTTTTCTTCCCCTTTCTTTTTCACCTTCCCAACTGACGTACCTCTTTCTCTCTGTCATGGTGTGCATAAGAAAGGGAATATAAGAGTACAAGGTTGTTTAATAAAGTAGTGTTTGTTTATTCTGTCTTCCACTGATAAAGTTTTATTAACTCTGTGATTGTCATTTGTGCTTTTTGGCAAAAACGTAAGTCACTTTCTATACAGGGGGGAAAAAAAAGATAATTCTAGCAAGTAAATCATGGTAGCTAAGTGCTTTGGGCAAACAAATGTGTACCTTATCTCTTCCAAAAAACCCGTGGAAAATGCATGATAAATGGCACATTTCAGAGAACATGTTATGTCACTGTGAAATAACTTTGATTCATGGTTATGTATTTATCTTTAAACAACTGACAAACCTCAGGGTATCTAAAGTATTATCATTTGCTCTATGCTTCCGTGGCTTTTTGCTAGTGAATCTGAATGATGTGAGGTAAGATAAGACATCTGCTTTTTCAGTCATAACGTTCTATAAAGAACAAATAAGCACAAATAGAAAATTCTTACTGTATTTGATTTTTGGATGAAGTCCTCTGAAAAATATTTATCAGAAATAATTTCCTCCAATTGTGTTTTGAAAAGCATTAGTATAAACTTCAAACAGAAAAGGATGGGGCCTGTTAATGAAAGGTTTTATATTACACAGCAATAGAAAATATCATCATTTTGATTTATAATAAAGTAATTATTCACCAAATTAAAAGGCATAATAGTTAATTTGTTCCTTTCAGTTGTGTGTCTGCATAAACTGTATTCTGAATTACATTTTAAAATGAAGATTTCATTTTGTCTGCCTTTCCAAATAGAAAGGAAACATGTTATTTGATTTGCCATTGTGACAAATCAGGAAAGATGACTTAAATTGCTCTATTGCTTGCATTAGTAACACCAACTATTTTAATCACAAATGGTGTATAAGGATTCAGGCACTGTTGTTCTAGTATATAGTATAGTATATAGTCCATGACACCCCATGCGATGGTATTTATTTGTAAAATCTATTTGCCATATTAGTTGAGTGCACAAGAGTCACTGGCTAACCACCTCCACAATTTATGGCACTCTGTCCATGGACATGAAGAACACCTGGTCTTCTCCGTTCACAGCTCCTGCTGCAGGAACTTGCCTAGAGCTGGAAAGTCTATTTTGCACTGAAGATGCAGGAGCAGGGCCAATGCAGGGTGAAGTAGGAGGCACGGAGCTGAAGTGAGATGAACTTAACTGGTGTGGAGCTGCATACCTGTCTGAATGGTTGGGGAAGAGAGATATAGGTAGAAGTGCTGGAATGAAGGGGCATGTATTTAGGTCCAACAGGAGGTGTGATGAGTGCGTGACAGGTGGGGGTGGGAAACCTTAGATTTTGACAATCGAAAGTGCAACAGGAAGGAGTGAGTGAAAGCATGTAGTAGTGGGAGAAGTAAGCAGGGATGTCTGCACCAGATTGCTGTCAGTGCTGGTATGTTATATTATATTATTCTATGCCTACGCTTGTCTGATGAGATTTAAACCACCCAGGACACAGACTAGCTGCTAATCTGAATGATACCATGAAGACCCTTTTCTATATTAAACATTATTATCAGAAGAATTACCATTATTTTTGCATGGTTTTTTACACTGCCCTTCAACATATGTAAGTCAAAGAAACCTTAATAAGAAAATTTTCCCACACCTTTCTTTTCCAATAATCCACTGGTACTACTTTTCTGCATGTGCAGTCAATGCTGCTAATATTAGTAAGGTTCTTACTCTGTTTTCCCCCTTTTCTGCATTGCTTTTAGTATAGAATCATATCATCCAGCAGTGCCTGTCTCAATGTTTTGCTGCTAATAGATCAACGGAAGTCAACAGACATACACCAGCTTACACAAGTTCAGAATCTCTTCTCTTCATCTGTTCCTTTGGCCTACATTGAGCCAATACATTACAAAAAAATTAAATGCTACAAATCCAGTGCACTCAGTTTAAAAATTATTTCTTATGTTGTTTCTTAAAACAACATTATTTTTAGCTGAAGCTTTTGGGGTTTTACTTTTCTGTTTCATCTTTTGGTAAGATTTTAGTGAATAAGTTGTCATTCATTATGTCATGGCAATTTTAAAGTAGATGACATTCCTCACCCAAGTTATTTTAATGCTATCGCCTCAAATGAATCTACAGAAATGCCTTTCAAATATGACCATGAAGTAAAAGAAAAAGTACATTTATCTATTGTTCGATTTATTGCTGTATTCCCTGTTTCCTTATCTTCACTGAGCAGTAATAAATGTTGGTTACTTGGAGGTAGAAAAATAGAAGCTGATAATTGCTTTACATGATGGAAGCGCCTTTGTTTTCTTTATATCTAGTACTTTGCAGTGTATTTAACTTGGCTAAACTATCATTTTTCATAGTATACTTGAATCAGTTGACGTTTATATATACATTGCATTTTGCATGTAAATGGAAAGTTTTATGGCTTTGAATTTTGAATCAAAATATCAAACTCGTATTTTGCCTTGGAACATGACAGACATTGTAAAAATTTACAAACAAAAAAAAAAGAAACAAATGCTTATGCTGATTTTGACCTAATGTTTTTAGAAATATCTTCAGTGCTTGACTAAACGTTTAAGCTCTCAAAAGTGAAATGCCTATCTCTTAGTGAGCACAAAACATGGAAACTTGTAAATATGGAAACATTGTATATTTTCATATTAGAAATTTATTATTCTATGGCTTTGTAGACTGCTTTGCTTTTTTCCAGCTCCTCGTGTCCTCGGTCTTGGTAACCTGAGAACAATATGGCAGCAACCGTTTAGTTGAAAGCTAACTGCAAATTAAAAAATCTATATAGCTAATGAGAGAGATGTTTGGTAACAGCACATACCTCCTGCCAGCAAAAACACTATTATCATAGCTTTATATAAGACAAAGTAAGATGATAATTGCACAGGCAACATTTTCAGAGAGTTTCTAAGTTTATTTAAATATAGTAACACTGCACCTGTTTTCTGCATATGCAAAAAAATTCAAGAAGGTCCTGCCTCAAAGAAATCATTTGCTTACCAGGACAGACACAGAGAAGGCAGACTTACTGGTCTGGGAAATTCAAGAGGGATTGGCTATCTTTATATATCTGCATATAATATAGATTTGCTCTCATTTGATGGTTTTGGCATTAGGAGGGCTAGGTAACGGATGCTGTTGAAGCACAATTCTTTCACATGGGTACTTATTAGAATAGGGGAAATTCTGGTACTCTCAGATACCAGTGTGTATACCAAAAGGTTTTGCCATTTTCTGAGCTTTAAAAGCTGATATCACTAAATTTAGTGAGCTATAAAATAAAAAGTGTAATTTTATTGTCTTTATGATAATTTTGTTTTTTCTGTTTGGTAAGATTTGCAGTGTGGGCTGTTAAAGCCCATTTTTAAGTCAATTAACATGGGTAGGACGATCTGTTTAAATGCAAAGAACTAATTAGGAAAAATATCTTTCTACTGTTACAATGAACCTTAAAATAAATTAAAGATGTACAAGTAAAAATGTAATGGAAATCTCGGACGTTACATAGCTATCTTCCTTTTTCAGGGTGCTCCTAAACCGATTGCCATTGAGCCATGTTCAGGAAATAGAGCCGCAGTCCTCACGGTATTTTTATGTCTGCCCAGAGGATCATCAGGAGTCCCACCCCCTGGTCAGTCAGGTAAGGCTCGTGTTGGTGAGCATCAGTGCAGTCTACTTGGACAAATGCACCCACGCAGATCCAAAATAATGGTACAGCAGATGAATACGAGGGACTACTCAGTCAAGTTGATGTTAAGTTTAGGGCCAATGTTTAATGAGGAATTTTTGTTTGGAATTTGATGTGGTATCCCAAATAAAAAGCCCAGTGATCAAACTAGGCTGGTGTACAATGGCATGTCTGATTAGGACTTCCTGAAACAATACGCGTGTATATCGATATGCTTCAACATTCTCTTTCAGGGCAAAAAAAATTCATATGCAGCCACTTCTACGGTTTCAGTTCAAGTTGCTATAAATGAGGCTATATAGGGAATACCAGTGAGTATTCTCAGTTGAAGCTGATGTTTAGTGCACTAACTTCTAGTTAGGTTCCTTTGCAGCATGAATCCCAATGCTGTGCTGTCTGGGATTCAATTAAAATATTAGCATTTCCCAGACTGCCTGTTGGATGAAACCTGGGATTGTGTGAGTGAATGTGTCTGCTTCATTAGGAAGGTGTTCACTTTGGAAGTGATCCCAGCTCATTTTAACACAGCATTTGCATTATCTGGAAGCACTTCTTGTGGCAATCTACCGTATCTGATCTATGCTAGATCGTTGTACAAAACCATTACAGACATTCTTGTAAAATATTTCCTAAACAGGAGGTACCTAAATATACTTTTTTAATCCTTTAAATAATTGCCTACAATGATATGATACAAAATGATTATGACAACAAAGTTTAGACAGTAACGGGGGGCTGCACAGATGACCAGTTTACTACTTCAGAATTCACTGGAGTTGTTGCCAAAATGAACGCCTTTGTAATGAGCAGTAAGCTGCATGGTATGTGCCCAAAATGCTCCTATAAGCCAGAAAATATACTTTAAGGCTAACTTTTATTATTAAGAGCCAAAAAGATATCCTTTTAACCTTCAAAAATCCATTTAAGAGATTAAAAAGTATTGAGTAATGATGATGAGGGCAAACTCAGTTGACTTATGTTGGAAATAAGCTCAGCTGAGTGTTCTTTCTTTTCCTTTTGGCCTGATGACTATCTGTTATTTATTTGGGGTTTTTATTTCGGGTTTTTTTGGGGAGGGGGTTTATAATTCCCATGGCTTGGAATAGAATTTCTGGAATTGCTATGAAAATAAGTGTTCCTGATGCTTTGTCAAATACGTTTCCTGGAAGAAGTATATAAATGTAAGTGCTCTGAAGAGAGCAATGAGGGAGGAAGGATTTTTAGCGTATTCCCTGTTCATGTTTTAAGGAAATGAAAAAGAAACAAAGGTGTTTATAGTCTTACAACAAGGAAAAACATTATGAAAGGAATTAAAAGTAATTGTTGAAATTGGAGCTTAAAATGTTTTTTTCTGTTGTTTTCAAACTCACCTATGATGTGCTTCTCGGCAGTAAAAATGTATTTATCTAGTTACTTCATAATCAGCTTCTGTTTACTATATACAATTTTTTTAAAAGTAATTGCTGTTCTTTGCTGTGTGTAAAACGTGGATGAAAAGGCTTTTTGAAACAGGAGATGGGTTCAACAACACAGCAGATATGTCATTTTGAATGTTTCTCAATCTATGAAAATGCACCTCTTTTTTACATGTGTTGTTATGTCCTCCTGTTCTGCTCTGTCCCCTTATTACTTTGCCTTCCATCAGCTTATATTTCAACTGCTATTCCTCCTTTTGTTATCATGGTGTTTGTCAGCCATTTAGTATTTTAAAATATCTAAAATTTTTAGTCCCACAACTTTCACTTTGTTCAGGGTCAAAAGCAAATAGAAATGCTTGAGGTGTGCAACCATGCTGATTCAACCATTAGATTATATTAGATTATATGGCTATAATCATTTTTTCTTGTGTGTAATGAATTTTGGTACTCATGGACTGCTTTCAGTGTATCTAACCATGCATAGTCTAGGCAGAAGCTATTATGCAAGTTTGTTGGCATACCTGTAGCTCTACTAATTCATTTCATTCCTGTCCTGCAGCACTACCTGCTGCTTCTTTCCTGGGCTTCCTGGGAGCAGATGCTGTGAACTGTGCCAAGTTATTTGAAATGATGTGCAAGCTTTGTGCGGCAGACATATGTTTGCTATGCAGTTGGTTTCCCTTATTACCTAAGCTAGGTTAAAACGATATTTAGGTGGATGGAAGTAGTGTGTTCAGTAATTATGTCTTGCCAAGTAATTTTAGAATCCTCTATTACTTGTATATATCCATTTTCAGGCTCATTGGGATCATTCTAGGATAAAACTGACGTTGTGTCAAACATATTTGTTTAAATGATACGTCAACGATACTGATTCTCAGTTCACAATGAGAGACAGTGGGTCTCATTTCTTATATACATATGTCTGAAATATAGGAAGGAAATGCCAGTACTGTTCTGCATTACATTTTCTCCAAAATCAAGAAAGCTAATTCTTTCCACGAATAACTAGTCTACACTCTACTGGAGCTTTTAGAGTTGTATTCCTATGTTTTTAAGATCTGAATTTGATCAAACGTGAGTTTTACTTGTTTCCAAGGTTTACACTAACAAATATTTTGTTGAAAAATGTCTCTGAATATTAAAAAACCCCAACAAACTAATGTAAAGATTACTCTTTCTGCAGCATATGTTCTATACTTCACCTGTATCAGCAGCTGGAAGAAAAGTTGAAACTACAGATGGTGGGCTTTGGCCAAAGACTATGCAAGGCAAAAACTTCTCTAGGAGAGACCATATGTCCCAGTGGAGATCTGAGTGCTTTCTACTTCCTGCAGAAAATACTCAGAACTTTACAGACTTTTGACAGCATTGTTTAGTTCTAAGTGCTAATCGTATAAGTATACAAATAGCAGCTAGGTTGATACAATTAAACTGCTTAAAATTAATATGTGGTTTAAGATAGGTTTTATACAGATTGTTCATGTAGATTCAGATGAAATATTGGTAAAAATGAATTTATTGGGGAAAAAAACCCCACTATTCATTGTGACTCATGCTTTAAAAGGGGACTTTTTCAATGAAGGAACGATTTGTAGAATTAAACATCCTGGAAATCTGGAAAGACAATAAATGTTACCATCATAGCAGGTTAGGTGTAGCACAGCCAAACTTACATTTTCTTTTAGGTGTAAGCTTTGAAAAGGATCCTAACAATTCAATTATACTTCTCTAGAGTAACAACTGTTTTTAAATGAGGTTTTCCTTGGATTAAGGCAGAAATCAGAACCACATTATAAATTAGAATGATCAATGAAAAATATTAAGGAAGTTTAGCAGTGATAAAAACTAAACTTCTCAGTTTTGGATTGACTGATAGAACATGTGGTTTCCTCATTCTTCAGTTGTCCAATTGGCTGCATTGTACCTGAGTAATCAGATAAAAATTCAAAGGTTCAAAAAAATAACAATTCTCTGTACAGTTCATGGGTATATCAATATGCATGCATCATTGTATGTGCATAGCAGAAAAATGACTTGTTCAGGCACTTGTGGGCAGATTGTAATATACAATGCGCACATATGTCTTACAGATTTTATGAAACATTGGAAGCTAGAGATCATCTGTTGTTGCTGTAGTGTCTGACCCCATGCTTTAAATAGCTTAAACTCAATATCAAAGGAGATCTAATAATGAGAGCAGCTGCAACCAGATCTCTAGAAAGAACTAAATTATATGTCTCAAAGGGTATTGAACAAAACAAGCTAGACAAAAAAAAAGAAGAGGAACAAGAGGATAATATATAAATTACTTAATGCAGAAAAAGGTGCCAATGAATTGCCAGCAGTGGAAAGACCAAGAATAACTCCTTCACAGTCTTCATACAGCTCTGGTGATATATTGGACAATACAGAAAGAATAGCTTGGTAGTGTGATAAATTCTGTTAAAAGAACTGTGATCATATTATTATTAAAACTAACTAAATCCCACACTTTGAGGTATCAAGGTGTTGTACAATAAGTTTATAAAACTCTACGATGTTTGCGTCGTTCTTGGATAAGGCCAGTAAATGTTTTAAAGCACAAAGATAAATGAGAAGATTAGAGCATTTCAAAATAATTCAGAATCAAAGGAAGTAATTTGTGAATTATTTACAGGTTATGTTACTTTCACACAGCAAAATTTCCCTATCTACCAAGCAGGTAAAAGTGGTAGAGCACCTAGTAAATGTGCTTTCCTATTAAGACAGTAAGCTGACTGGTCTCTGAAGGTGTACATGTATGAGTGTCTCTCTATTAAACCATAGAGGACATCTAACATCTAGATGGCTATGACTAGGTGAGGTGAATCTAACTTAATAGTTAAAAATAACACTCGCAAATTAAAATCAAGAACTAAATAAAATATAGTAATTAATAGAGCAACTTCAGTGGAAATAATTTTGCAATGGAAGCTGTGGAATGTACATCCTGGAAGACTGCAGTATTCTGTTGCTACAAATATAAATTAAGACAGCAAAATTTCATGTTCGGCAGGCCTCTCCAACAGTGCTATCTGAAAGTTACTCTCTGATATCCTTGAATCAAAACAGAATTTCATGTAATTCTGGCCACACTAACTGTGGTGTTCAATCCTACTTAATCAGCAAGCTACAGTAGGATCACAGAATCAATAAAATTACCATGCCATCTGCCTTCCCTGTACTCACCATCATAATGAATAACGACTCATTAAGTGTTCTACAAGACAATTAGATCTGGATGGGGGTTTTCAGTAACAAGGCTTTCTTGGTTCTATTTCTAATTTTCTTGGATTAAAATTAAAAAAAAAGGTAATACATATCATAAGAGGCACATTAATATAAATATGAAATAACAAATAGTTTTAATACGGTATTATATTTAATGATAATGCTCAATTGTTCTGACCCTTGGAAACAAAACCATAGGTTAGGGTTTTCCATATGTGGAATGGGTTCATATGTGTACTTATCTCAGTATGTAGTGAAATAGTTGCAGACATACGCCGGCGT